CTTTTTTGCCGTTAAAATTACCTTATAAACTTTTATCAGACTTTACCAATATTGGTTACTGTGGCCTCTTCAGCCGATCGCTTTTGAATTAACGCCAAGTTTTGGTGGCTACCATAGTTTAGACAACATCGTATATCGCTACCCTGCATAGGTCGATCGCTGGGCTCTATTCGTCGCGGTAAGTCAGGTGTAGCTTAGAGCTACAGACAAATGCTATATTCCTAGTTAATTGTAGGTCGATTTTTTGGATTTCTTCGGAAGCAATATCACCCTTCAGCTTGTCTGTGACAAAGTTATATTATGAGCATGCACATGATGTCGTCCTGATGAGTAGTTCAGAAAAGGGCTCTTTCATCTGACAATTATTGTATTGGACACAGCTGTGAAAGCTAGCCTCTTCCGCAACGTCAGGAAGCCATCCTGCTCGACACCGTTGATTTACTGGGGAAACAGGAAAGGTAAGCCATGGAGAGAGTCGACCAGTTTAAGCATATCTTTGTTTAATCATCTCCAGCGATGACATGGTCCAATCAGAATTAAGTAGAAAAATCGCCCTTACTCCCACTTCATCTTTAAAAGTTGTCAAATAGTTTGGCTGAGAAGTTGATGGTCCTTTCCAAAAATATCTCTGTAATTTTCCACTGTAATATCATAGAGGCAACTGTTCTAACGAATGAATAAGAACTGCCGTTGAAGTGACTACAGTTGGGTTGACTTTGATGTATAATGAGGGTTAAATGGCAGGATCACGTATGAAGTGACTTCGTTCTTTCCGGGCACCGATGACCTCAACATACGAGAAGAATTCGAAAAGGAAGTTAGCGTTGTTAACTCCATACTGTCAGAGTGGTCGAGCAGAAACTATCTGCTCCAGTTCGCTAGTTTCTTGCGTGAAAGCCGAAGCACGGCAACCGTAGGCCTGACATACATGCACACGCACGCACCTGCTCAGACAATGGTCAGTGACAACCTGGTATGGAAGCTCCCAAATGTGAACAGTTTATAACACTGTTGTTTCTTATAGCTAATTTTCATGTTAGTACCTTTCGCACGAGTTTCATCGTGAAGCTGTACAGCGCCTGGTAGCCCTCTTGAAGATTCATGTACTTCTCGAAGTCGAATATTCCTTTTTGTCTTTCTGAAACAAATTTATGGGAAAATGTGCGAAAAAGTTAGTAGCTAAATCGATACCTGACCAGTGGGTCTGATTCAGGTGATAGTTGGCCATCTGCAGAGCCTCGATGATGCTCAGGTATTTCTTGTTTATGTTCTGTTGTTTCGATTCGACGTCCAGCGCTGTTTGCTACACAGAGAGCGGTCATGACACGAACAAATGGCTGCTTATGCCAGCGATGACAAAACTACCTGAATGCGATAATTTTCTGACTTCACGTCCTTCAACTGGTTTTCCAGATTTTGAATATGGCTTTCCAGATCTTTCAAGAGGTTCATCGTTCCTAGAGGCACCGACTGCTTAGCGTGGTACAACTTCTTCAGTTTCGCATTGAACTTCACTTCCTGAGTGAGCGCTTTGATGATCTCTTCCTTTTTGGCAAGTGTCGCTAACGTAGCGTCATATTCCACGTTTTTTGCCTTCAG